CACGTCAATTCAAGTTATTAGCTAAACAGGTGCCAATTTTGTGAGCTGTAGAATTTTGAAGCTTATCATTGTGGAATGCGCTTTCTTTGCTATTCACTTATTAAAGGGATATTTCTGTATCCCTCTAATGTTCTATGTGAGTGGTTATTTTACTTTTTATTTCTAAAAAATTTAACCCTGAACCTTGAAGGCCAGTTAGTATTCCGGAGGTACATTACAGAAAGAATAAAAACAGATTGTTACAAGACCCAGTGATACAACCAACAATCTAAAATAGTAGCACACCACCAGATAAATACTTTAGATCTGGGCTAGGCAACTAGAGTCCCTCAATCTATTTTGGACTGCAACTCCCATAATCCCTGACCATTGGCCATGCTGGTGAGGACTTATGGGAGTTGCCTAATTGTACAGTCAATATAGTACCTCAGTACAGCTTTTAAGGGGTCAACAGCCCAGGAAAATTACAACTCTTGGACTGGTATGACAACCAAGTAGGTGTCTGTTGTAGGCATTTCTCAGTGGGACAATGAAAAAATGTGTTCAGATGAAATCTCAGGATTAATACAAGAAAAGATGGTCCAACAAATACTTGTATGTATGGCTTTATACCATCAGTTTTAACTGATCCAGAAGCAAAGAAAGTTGTTTCTAATCAGGTGTAATACCTTTCTACCTTTGGTCCTTTTTCATAACCCAACACCTGTATGCTGAACTAGATTTCTGGATTGTCTTCAAAAATTCATTTCAGTAATCCAGTGTAGAAATAAACAAAATGTGGATAACTGAGGTTGAGCTATTTCTGTCCAAGAGGGGCTGTGGGTGGTATCTTGGCCTTAGTTTCACTCTGGCTCCTAGAATATGCACTGATAATGATGGGTCTATGAACAATCCCAGAAGATGCATCTTAAGCCTCCGGATGAACCCCTTCCATAACTGGATGAACTCATTATCCTGGACAGATTAAACACCCATTGACAGTATCCTTGGTAGCTGGTTCCAATGCATATGACATAGAATCTTCCCCATGGTAGCATTTGTGACATCTGAATGTCTGTGCTATTAATGTATCAGCTCCTGGTAAAGCGCTAGTACCAGAACTTACTGTAAAACTGTTTGTTTGTTTGTTTATTTAGAATTTTTGTATGCCGTCCCATTCGCATAAGCCTCGGGACAGCTTCCATACAATAAATAAACAACTGTATAAATAGTACACATAAAATCCAGATTCACCCTGGCTGCAAAATTAAAACCAATACATAATATTAAAAGTTATTAAAATGTTATTTGACTAAAAAGGTCTTGGCCTGGTGCCGAAGAACAAATAACGATGGTGCCAAGTGGACCTCTCTGGGGAGCACATTCCATAGGTGGGGCGCCACCACAGAGAAAGCCCTCCTCCGGGTACTTAGCCTCCTAATGTCTTTCACAGAGGGTTCCCAGAGGAGGGTTAGCTCTGGGTCGAGGAGCACTCCCAAGCCGTGGACCCTGTCCTTTAGAGGGAGTGCAACCCCATCCAGGGCAAGGTCCAAGTCACCTACCCAGGAGCCTGAACCACCCACCAACAGGATCTCCATCTTGTCCGGATTGAGTTTCAGTATATTGGCCCTCATCCAGTCCATTACCTCAGCCAGGCACCGGTTCAGTACAGCCACTGCCTCACCTGGATTGGTTGAAAAAGAGAGGTAGAGCTGGGTGTCATCAGCATACTGATGATTCTGCAGCCCACAGCTCTTGATGACCTCTCCCAGTGGTTTCATGTAGATGTTGAATAGCAAGGGGGACAGAATGGACCCCTGCGGTACTCCATGGCATAGCGGCCATGGTGCAGAGCCACAGTCCCCCAGCACTACCTTCTGGAATTGGCTGTTGAGGTAGGAGCGGAACCACTGCCAAGCAGTGCCTCCTACTCCCGCTAGCCTATCCAGAAGGATACCATGGTCGATCGTATCGAAAGCTGCTGAGAGGTCCAGGAGGACCAACAGGGACTCACTCCCCCTGTCTCTCTCCCTGCACAGGTCATCATACAGGGCAACTAAGGTAGATTCAGTACCGTACCCAGGTCTGAAGCTGGACTGAAATAGGTCCAGATAGTCAGTCTCATCCAAGAGTGCTTGGAGTTGTCCCGCCACTACCCGTTCCAACACCTTGCCCAGAAATGGGATGTTGGCCACCGGTCTATAATTGGCAGCCATCTCTGGATCCAGGGACACCTTCTTTAGGACCGGCCTGACTACTGCCTCCTTTAAAGGGGCAGGCACCCGGCCATCCCTCAGAGAGGCGTTGATGACTTCCAGGATCCAGGCAGCAATCCCGTGTTTGGCTTTGGTCAGTAACCACAACGGGCAAGGGCCAAGTAAACAGGTGGTGGGATATACTTGTCCAAGCACCTTGTCCACATCATCAGGCCGCAATATCTGAAATTCATCCAATAATATCTGACCAGACGGAGACATTGGCACCTCCCCTAAAGGATCTGAATAACTTGTGGAGTCCAGCTCATGACGAATCTGAGTGATTTTCTCCTTGAAGTGCTGGGCAAAGTCGTCACAGCGGGCCATCGATGGTGGTACAAGATCTTTCTTAGGGCCGGGGTATATCAGCCCATGTACCACCCAAAAGAGCTCTGCTGGATGGCATTGTGAGGAGGCAATGGAAGTGGAGAAGGATTTCTTCTTCACTGCCCTCACCGCCACAGCATAGGCTCGATAATGAGCTCGTAAGTGTGTTCGGTCAGATTCATCCCGTGATTTCCTCTACCTACACTCTAGACATCTCCCAACCCTCTTCTTCGCCCGTAATTCAGGTGTATACCATGGGGATGAACGGGCTCTGCCAGACGGGAGAGGACACTTAGGAGCGATCGTGTCAATAGCTCTGGCCATTTCCCCATTCCACAGTTCAACCAGAGCATCAACAGGAGTGCCAGCCTTATCAACTGGAAACTCCCTCAGAGCTTCTGGTTCAGGAATCCATCCGGATCCATCCAGCTCCGAGGGCGGACCCACACAACAGGGTCCGCACCCTTACAGAGGCAAAGGCCAGCATCGAAATCAAACCTCATGAGGAAGTGATCTGACCATGACAGGGGAGACAAATTCCTCACCCTCAGATCACCCTCATCCTGCCCCGTCGAGAAAACCAGGTCCAGCGTGTGTCCATGTTCATGGGTCAGGCCTATGACATGTTGAGACAACCCCATGACCAGCATGGAGGCCATGACGTCCTGAGCCGCCCCGGTCAGAACAGTCTTGGCATGGAGATTGCAGTTCCCTAGGACCAACATCCTGGGGGTCTTCAACACCAGGTCCGAGACGATCTCTGTCAGCTCAGGCAGGGAGTCTGATGGGCAGAAGGGTGCTCGGTACACCAGCAGAATTGGTGTCTTGGTTGCCCAACGCCAGATAGAGACACTCTAAACCCGGTCTCAAGAGAACAGGAAGCCCCACAAGGGGCATAGAAGCTGAATAAAGTAAAGCGACCCCCTTCCCCTCCCATCTTGGCATGGCTGGTACTGGACCAGATACCCGGGTGGGCACAGTAAAGAGAGGTACACATCCCCCCACCTTCCGCCCAGGTCTTGTTATGCAATCCAGGTTGGCCTCCTCATCCACAATTAGGTCGTGGATGAGGGATGTTTTGTTGTGGACCAACCTGGCATTAAGCAACAGCACCATCAGGCCTGAGGGGCGGTTGATAAGCATACCCGGAACCTTCCTTCTGGGGGAATAACCAGAAGGGGGAACAGGTGTCAACCATCTGTCCCTCCTTCTTCTATGCTGACCAGTTAAACCCCCAACACCATAATGACCATTGCCCAAGACCACCCCAATGGTAGCGCCCACGTGCTCCCCAGGCAACCTCATGTGAGCAGCCAGGTGTGAATCCATTAAAAAAATCTAAGATAAAATACAATTTAAAATACAACAAAACCATAAAACCCTCCAGCCACCCAATTACAAAAATCCACCCGCACAGAATGTATGGCCAGCCAGTCCCCGCCTAGCCCTGAACGGTCCCAAATGGCGTCAATGCCCTTAGGCCGTTGCCCTTCAGCCGGTGGCCCCTTCCCACGCCCCGCCCCCAATCTGGCACAGCTGCCACCCACGCCGGCTGGGGAGGGGGGCAAGGGCGGCTGCGGAGAAAGTTGCCAGTGCCAATGGAGGGCCCGCAGGCCAGCAGCAGCATCCCGCGGTGGCCGCTGTCCGTCCATCGGGCAATGGCAGCAGGTGGGGCGGGTCGGCCTTGGTGTCTGCGGGTGGTGGTGGAAGGTGGCCCAGTTCAGTCCCCAGTGGCCTAGTCCAGTTGCAATGCTTTACAACAAGGTATAGAAATATATCTGCCCTTTGGTGTAAACATGTTAGCTGGCAGTATATTCCAAAGCTCACCTTCAAATTCAACCAGTTTTAATTCTGCATAATTTCTCTGGTAGCCAGAAGTATACTGCAAAGGAATATAATGCTAACCTAATTTTTTCTATAGGTATAGATGATCCTTATTCATTGAAAGAATTTCAATTTTTAGACTAGGAGATTCTCAGATTAACTCTGTGCAAGTAGAATTTGGACATCAAGCAAATCTAGTAAATACTATTTACAGTATTTGTCACCATTCTTCAAAATTTGCAGTAGATTGCACTATAGCAAATACAACACATATGATTAATTTTAATTTTGCATGCTATGTTATCACATTGATTTGGCCATAGGCTAATGATAAAACCAGTCAGCAGCATTCCCAATTGCTTGATCCAAGCAGATTAAGTTTTTTCAGTTCTGAAAAGTAGCCATTGGGTGAGGTTGGGTGTATCTTTCATGGAATGATGTTCCACATCATTGGGGCAGCTACTGAAAAGGCCCTGATTCTAGTAGATGCTGATCTAGCATTACTGAAAGAGAACTCTAAGTTGGGTAACTCTGGCAGATCTGAAAGCGTGTCAAAGATATGAGTCTTGTGAGTTCAATAATTATCTTATCTGTACTATCTCTTTCTTCCTTTAGTGCCTAAAACAATATATGCAATTGGCCATCCGTGAGGGTTGTGGTTCTCCCATCACTTGTCCGGATATGGTGTGCTTAAGTCGTGGGACACTGCAAGAAGCAGAGGTATCCATACTTACCATATTTCTTTTCAATTTTATTTGTTCATTTACATAATGAATATATTAGACTGTTTCCTCCCTCCCCTTAATTACTCTAATGACTACTTGGCAGAAGGCCCACTTGACAAGCTAGAAACAAGCACATGGCTTTTTCCTCTTGATTTTTCTTTCCTGGGGAAATGTTTACTTGACATTCAGGCAGTCTCAGAATTGCCTGCTTAAAAGTCAGAACATCTTCCATTTGAATGTCATCAGAACTTCTTTAGCAATGAATGTTGGAATATGCACAGCATTCTGAGTTATAAAACACTCATTGAAGAAGGTTTTACATGTTTCTTGCTGTTTAAATGGTAAGCTGGAGCCAAGTGTGAATAGAGCTTGACAGGTTAGGGTAAGGCCTTGTGGAAAGAAGTTATGATAATTGTGGGTTCATGTTAGGGTTGTGTGTGGATATAAGTTATTCATCTTGCAACCAGGAAGATTCAGAAATCTGGACATGGTACAGGTGAACTTGGAGGTGAAAACAACAAAGGATATTGTGGTGTAGGTTTTTGAAGGCTAGGCTTTGCTTCACCATGCCCACATTATTATTTTTTTAATTTATTAGATTTATATTCTGCTTTTTTTCTTACAACAAACTCAAAGTGGGTGACATAATTCTCCTCCTCCTGGTCTCAACCTTTTCCCCACAACAACAATCTTGTGAGGTAGGCTGGGCTGAAAGTCTGTGACTGGCCCAAAGTCACCCAGTTGGCTCCATGGCCAAGCAGGGACTAGAACCCAGATCACCCAAGTCTCAATCCTGCACTAACCATTATACCATACATATACATAACACTTGAAAGACATTCACATACAGTTCCTAAATGTCCACCTTGCCCCCACCACCTGACCTTTTTATACAGCCATTGCTTTATCTGTGTCTGCCTTGGTTTCTCAGTACTATCCTCTTATGCCACAGTAACAACTTGTGCATAGCCATTGTGAGCTGAACTACAACTGCAAGCTGTTGAGATGCACTGAACAGTGACAGGCTGCAAGTGCTGATAGTGAAACAATCTAAGCACCTTATCACATGCATGGCCCAGCTATGCTCAACTCACACTTCTTACCATAGCTATCTTAGTAGTGCAAATCCAGCTTTGGCAGATAATATGAATTCATACCATTACCCAATAGTGTCAATCCAGTTTAGTGTGCTTAGCATGGACAGACAAACATTCATGGATGACATCATTCTTAGATGCCTTGCAGATTATGTTATGTGGATGAGATAAAGGTGAAAATGGCATTTCTCAATTCACTTCTCATTAGAACATGGAATCAGGGAAGGAGAAGAGACAATCCAGCAAGCTATGAGTGAGCGGAGACAGCAGTAGTGTTGTGGTTGGTCTGTTCCTGTCTTCATCAAGGACAGAACTAAAATAAAGCTTGATGGGCTGGTGTCATTAACTGTGAATTAATGGAAAGTGTAGAACTTGTGAAAGATGGATGTAAAAATTTAGACTTGGACTGCAATGGTGATATAATTTAAGATGTATGCCTTTAATTAGAAATCTCCTTTGGTGTGCTTTTGAGATTTGAAATGTGGTATACTAATATCTCTATAGGTAATTCATATTCTATTATAGGTAGAATGGTGTGGCAGAGCTTAATGATACCTCTATTAGGAAGTCACCAAAAAGGGGAAACTCATAATAATCAAAGTCTTCCAGAGAAATCTACACCTGTTTCTGTCCTTTGGAACTAAAGCAGGAAGTCCTTAAGACTGGTGCTGAATTTTAGTTTGGAATGGATCAGACATTGTGGGAGGGAACTGCAGTTAGGACAACTTAAAGGAGGCAGTCTCTCTCTCTCTCTCTCTCTCTCTCTCTCTCTCTCTCTCTCTCTCTCATGTGCAGATGGTCTGATCAACCCCCTTTTCGTGTTTCTTCTGTTCTATAAAACCAAATGGCAATCCTTTTTTCTGTTCACTTGTAAGAGATAAAGTGGGTAGGACTTGCAGCTAAAATAATCTGGCCAGACCTTGTTGTCTGAAAGATATGCAGGGAAGGAGGATATTAAGGTGTTCTCTCAGTTTTCTCCAGTTACACTGCCTCCATGCACGCTGCAAATTATAGAATGGCAGCTGTATATTTTATAATGTTAATGTGTTTTATATTTTTAGTGTTTTATATTTTAACTGATGTTGTAAGCCGCCCCGAGGCTTCGGCGAATGGGGCGGCATAAATTTTTTTAAATAAATAAATAAATAAATATATATATGCAGGGTGTAAAGGCACTTAGTTCACTCAACAGTGCATGCTACACAAATAGAAGAATTGTAAATTCCCATAAAATGTGAATGGTTTTTAAGAATGAATTTTCAGTGTGCATACAAATTTATCTTGAATTACACCATTTCCAAATTTTCATCTCATTCTATCAACGTTATTGCTGCACCAATGGAGTCATAAACCTTCACCAGCCTTCACAATAGAAAGTGTGTGAGTTCAAATTTGCTTGGAAAATATAAAAAATATTTTGCAAATGACTGTGTTTCTATAGCTCCTCAAATCTAAAATATTCTAATTAGTTAGGCAAGAAGACATTTGAGGGTATGCATTAAAGGGCAGTTAATGTTTTCCTCAATACCCTATGGGGCTAAGGATTGAATGAATAAGCAATGATGAATGTATTTAATGATTCATGCATGATGGAATGCACTGAATTCTTTTCAGAGTTGTTATTTCTCATGTCAATGTAAATTTCCCCAGAATGAAGAAAACCTATAAACAAAGATATAAATCTTAGAAAAATTAAAACAGGTCACAATAGGTACCGTATTTTTCACTCTATAAGACGCACCTAGTTTTTAGAGGAGGGATCCATGGAAAGCTTCCTGATAATCACAGGCACATTCCCCATCACTTCCCCATGGGCTTCATTAAAAGACGGGTTGCCATTTGAAAACACACACCGACCTGTGATTAACAGCTCTCACCTGTGCCGGAGGAGGGGGGCGGAGCAGGGCGCGACAGGTGCGTGCCGGCCAGGTGTGGTGCAGCCGGGCCGGCAGCGTGCCAGTGGTGGTCTTTCGGGCAGCGGCGGTGGCAGGTCTTCCCAGGCAGTGGGGGTGAGCAGTCCGTCTCTTCGTGCAGCCGGTGGGTTAAAGCCCGCGACTCCTCCTCCTCCGCGGCAGGTCTTCCTGGGTGGTGGGGGTGAGCAGTCCGTCTCTCTGTGTGGCGGCCAATGGGTTAAAGCCCGCGGCTCCTCCTCCTCTGCACTGCTCTCCCTGAGTGGCACAGCTCTCACCTGCGCCGGGGGGGGGGGGCGGAGCAGCACGCGCCGAGCACGTGCCGGCCAGGTGGTGCCACGTGGTACAGGCGGGCCGGCAGCGTCCCGAGTGTCGGGCACACACACATTCGCTCTATAAGACGCACAGACATTTCCCCTTACTTTTGAGGGGGAAAAAGTGCGTCTTATAGAGCGAAAAATACGGTATGTTTGAAGTATTCATAATTACATATAAATGTGTAGTAATGCAGGTATCATGAAAAGTCAGACCAAATATTTGCCTAACATCAGGCGGCATCTAAATACCCCCTGTTCAAATATTGAAATTGTCATTAGGACCTCAGTCCAAGGAGATGAGCGTTTCTTTTTCCAGCGTTATAAAATCAGTCTTTTGGCTATCAAAATTGTGCAGAAAATCCACTTATGTTGTCCTTGTGATAAGTTTTCTACAGCAAATAAACAATTTAGAACAATGTGTGCATCATTAAATCTTAAAAAACATTCTATCATAAAGTTTATCTGTACTATGACCTCCATCTGTACTATGTACTCATGTGTTTATGATCTTCACTGATCCTGTGTTATATTGAGGAATACTAACTTCCAAGCAGAACAGAAGCAAGAGGAAGAAGTGAACTTGATTGAATTAAAGTTTAACAAGCTGATGGCTCTTATGATTAATGCTGGTGCAGTTTCCCTCCCCATCCCAGTGTTACCTGTTGTACTGCCTTTTAAGCTCTGATTATATCACCATACTCTTTTCCAGCCTTCCCCAATATGGTGTCCTTCAAATGTCTTGGACTATAACTCTTGTAATTTGCCATGCTTGGCTGTTGCTGTTGGGAGCTATAGTCTAAGCACATCTGCAGAATATAAGTTGGGGAAAACTGATGTACTCCTTGACTGTTTAAAAAGCAAACAATAAATTCTTGTCTTTCATTCTCTGGTCAGTCTGTTATCTACTTCCAAGTACTGGCCACTTATATATGTCATGTTTTCTGCCAGTTTGAGGCCTTATCTTAACCTAAAAGTGTACCATGGATTTTGTCGTACAATGCCATCATGCAATTGTATATTGATTCAACTGAAATCAATGAAAGAATGATCTCAGTTCGAATCCAAGGCAAACCATTCAACATCACAGTAGTCCAAGTCTATGCCCCAACCACTGCTGCTGAAAAGGCTGAAATTGACTGGTTCTATGAAGGCCTACAGCACCTTCTAGAATTATCACCAAAAAATGATGTCCTCATCATCATGGGGGATAGGAATGCTAAAGCAGGAAGCCAAAAGATAACTGGAATAACAGGCAAGTTTGGCCTTGGAGTACAAAATGAAGCAGGGCACAGGCTGGTAGAATTTTGTCAAGAGAATACGATGGTCATAGCAAACACTCTTTTCCAACAACCCAAGAGACAACTCTACACATGGACATCACCAGATGGTCA